CCCCCCAGGACCAAGCAGGACCCTGGCATGGGAAGGCGCTGGTTCAGAGCTTGTATCTCTGCATGGCATTTGCTGAGGGACCTGTGAGAAATGGGTCCCGTGACGGGAAAATCCTGCCATGTGACTCTTCGTGCTCTGCCCTGGCACCTCCTGACGCAGCGCAGGCATCGGTTGCCAGGTCCTGGTTGCTCCTGGAGCGCAGCTGGGGGAGAGCCCTTGCACCACCGGGCAGAAGCAGCTGGCCTTTGGCTGCGGCGTTGGCGCTGCCAGCGCTGGGATATCGGGGGGGTTGCCAGGGCACCTCCTGCATGCGCAGGCTGCCCAGCTGATAAGTGCTGGCACGGGGCAGGCTCCGTCCAGGCTCCCTGGCCGCACCCTGCTGATCTGCCAGCTCAGTGGCCGCCCGCAGCACAGAGCTGCTGCTCTTTGCTCCCCTCCCGCTTCCCCTTGCGGGGGCCAGGCCCAGTGCCCCAGGCCGGCGGTGTTCAGTGTGAGGCGCCGCGCCAGTTCTCTGCAGATAACCTGGTCATTCTGCAAGTGCTGCGAGGAGACGTTGTCCCTCCAGGACCTTTGGCTGGGTGCAGAACTGACACCTTTCTTGGGTCCAGAAAGAGTCCGGTGAGATTTTTAGATGGTGAAGCTGCATTGAGCAAAGCAGCGAGCGCACAGTGGCCACTGCCCGGCTGCTGCTGCCTGGGGCTGTGTGGGTGCAGGTGCATCAGGCTGCGAATCAGCTGCTGCCAGAATGAGATCCTGTGTTGATGCTTGGCCACCTTGACAGCTGTCTGGGTCCACAGGCAAGGGAACATGTGGGGACCATTGTGCTGAGAGAGCCCAGCCAGTTGCCCTGCCAGAGGGGCTCTGCAGCGATGCTCTCCCCTGAAAGGGCTGGACCCTGCGTCAGGGGCCCAAAAAGCCCTCGCCTGACGCCCTGACAGAGGTGGGCTTAGCTGGTGGCTGCGGGGAAGCGGCACGTCCCACTGGCAGCGGGGCTCTGGGGCTCGTGGCAGCGAGCTGTGTTACCACATCACCACGCGTCAGCAGAGGCGTCAGGGCCTGGCACGGTGCCGGCCCACCGGTACACGTGCTCAGCAGCTCTGGCACGGCCGGTGATGCTCACTGGTGCCTTGCAGGTGCAGCAACACTCTTGTTATTTTTGGTGCTGGTCGGGGATCCCACCACTGCGGAGTGCAGCGTCCTGGTGCCTGCCTTCCAGCACCGCATGAACAGAGCACAGTTCTCTTGTTTTCTTGAAATCCCTTTAAATATCCCTGCACTGCAATGTCTACCAAAGGGAAGCCGCGCAGCTAGCGCACTGCCTGATCTCTACGGTGGCAGTCTGTCTCCTCTCATGTCTTGCTCCCCGCTGGGACTGTCAGCTGGGGCAGTGTGTCACTTCCATACCTACCACCTGCTGGCACAGCAGGTCCAGGGACACACAACCGGGGCTCTTGCGCACTGCAAGACATTAATTCACAAGTTCTCCCCTTTCCCTCGGCCTCAGTTCTCCCAGGCTGCCTTTTGACAGGCACAGGCAAAAGCTGCCGTGCTTGAGGAACTGCGGTTCTGCTGCTTTGAGGCAGCTGCTGTGTCTGACCGAGCTGCTGCAGCACAAACAGCCACCTGACTAGAAAAGCAGCCCGGACAGCTCTTACGCAAGCTCCGAGCCAAGGTTTATGAGGTGCATCTCCCGGAAGGGGCTGAGGCTTTCGCTTGGAAGCCACAAGTAGTGAGATGCATCCGGCCCACCCAGCCACCACGTCCTGCCCAGCCCGTGACCGGAGCCACGCATCCCTCGGGCTGCTCGTGCCTGTGTGCACTCGTGGGCTTGGCTGCCAGGCAGGAGAGCCCAGCCTGTTACACTGCAGCAGGGACCACGTTCCAGAGAAAATACGGGCAGTGAATCACCACTGTAGCTCCTCAGTCCCCGGAGTTACAGCGGGTCACAGCCGTCCTGCGTACCCCTCCCCAGGCATCCCACCGTTGCATGAATGATCTAACAGAAACACCAACGTCCAGAGTTTGGAAAGACTTGCCAAAGAGCTAGAGGTTGCATCAGACAGGATCTCACCCTGACGCTAACTGCCCACAGAGCGGCTGTTGGGGGCCAGCACAAGGACAGCCTTTGTTCACTTTATCAGCACATCTGGGCTCGCTCTAACTGACATGATGGAGGGTGACGCCTGCTCCCGGCTCCTGCTCTTGTGCTGCCGTTCACGTCCCTGCGCTGCAGCGAGGGCATGCGGCTGGGCACAGCTTGCAGCAGGGAGCTGCGCAAGCAAAGCGCATCTCCCGGAGCGGGCTCCCGCAGGCGCCGGCCACACGCCTGCTCCTCACCAGGGTGTGTAGGCGGCTCCTGCCTGGCTGAGGGTGCTTTGCTTCAGCCCTTGCGTGTTCTTTCAGTTTCCGAGTAGCGTCGTTTCCTTTAGCTGCAGTATCTGGGAAGCACAGCAGCTTTCTGGGACCAGGAAGAAAGGAGGCCTGCACCATTAGCTCAGTAGGTTCCCTCTTGTATTCAGAGTTCTCAGTTACCATCGTGAGTCTTTTAGACCAGGAGCAGGGCTGAGCCAGCTCCTCTACAGCTTCTCTAGCACTGTAGGTTCTGTCAAGAGCTTTTCCCGGCTACACTTTTCTTACCCTTAACACAAACATGCCACATCCACAGGCTCTTATCACACATCGCCTCTCCCGGCTTCTGTTCTCCCTCCAATCACCTCCCTCATTCTTCTGCCTGCGCAGGAATTTCCCTTCGTGCTTGCAGCTGGAGTAGGCACAACGCAGGTGGGCCAAGGCTCAGCACCAGGTGCTCCTCAGCTGGCAGGATACCCCCAATTTCAGTACCTCAGAGACCCACCCTTCCCACTTCCCCACGCCCTGCTCATCCCTCGGACTGCAGGCCGTGCAGCACAGAGTGAACAGCTGCAATGGGGGCCTCTCACCTCTTCTCCTCTGGCAAGGATTGTCCCGGATGCCCTGTTTCACAGCTCAGCAAGCCCAGGGATTCCGGTCTTCTCCCACCCCAGGTCTTTGCAGAAATCCCCTGTGGAACAGAAGTTCTGCCACTTCCTGCCAAAGACCCAGAACCAGGAAGTTCCAGAACAGAACCAGAACAGACAGCAGATGGTCAGTTCAAAGATTTTATTTAACTGTCATAAAAGGAGAAGCAGACGATGATTCCAAACCTGTTAACCCGGGTCTAGGATTTACAGACAATATGCACCAAATCAAATCAACAAAAATCTCTCTAGGGGCAGGGCAAGGGAGAGTTAGAGGCAAAGATGTAGCTACAAGAAAGCCACATGTACTTGGTCCCAGTTCTAATACGACCTCAACGTGGTAGGATCCAAATCGGAGGACTGTGGAGCTGGAGCGTGCCTGCCCAGCCCTCAGGGGTCCACGGGTCCCGGAGGGCTCCTTCACCCCGAGGGCCGTGG